ACCAGCAAAACCGGAACTCAGGAACAGCGACGAGATGTTTCAGCTCCCTAGTAATCGCTAATTTTCGACCAACTCCATGGTTACACAGATTTTGAGCGTAATTCGGAGTCACCCTGAACAAGCGCCTGATATACCCCAAGGACCTGTCATATCACTTTTAAAATTGCTCTTCAATGTCAGCATTTTTTATACTGCGCATGCGATACACCTTTCAACCTGGCTGAGCTTCAGAAATCTCTTACAATATTATCGTTCTCGTAATTGTTGTTTGAGCAGGAATTGCTTAAAAAGCTGATGATTCACAACAACAAAAACCAGGATTTAGCTCGGAGTCCGCGGGGCTTTTTTAAAAATTTTTAGCGTTTCTAACTTAATATCAGCATGATAATAATGTAAGAGATTTCTGTGGCCCATCCAGGTTGAAGAGTGGAAAGCATGCACAGTATGAAAGACGCAGACATTGAGGAGAAATTTTGAAAGCGATATGACAGGTCATTGGGGTATATCAGGCGCTTGTTCAGGGTGACTCCGAATTACGCTCCGAAGCTGGGTAACCAAAGATAGGGTCGAAGTTACCGATCAGTAAGGAGCCGAAGGAACACCGTTCCCATGATTCTTTTAGCGCGGGCCGCGGCACTTGGGGGATACAGCAAATGGTCTATTGTAGTGTACGGCTCCGTGTCTATGTCGCGGTCCTGTCGTGTTTACCGCGGCTCCTTTTCGACGACGACGTTCCCGATTGCGCTGGCGCACGCTACGTGGTTTTAAAAGACTTGAGGAGCAGAAATGCCCCGATGTTGTGTTGCGCAATGTACAAGCCACAACAGGCAAAGCGTACGAATGTTTCGCTTCCCGGCTAGCCCTAATCGGAAGAGAGGCTGGCTTGCTCAAGTGAAACGGTACCACTGGGAGACCACTCCTGATTCTCGTGTTTGCTCCGTAAGTATATTTTATGTTCGTGTTGAGCCCCTTCCTCCGTCTGTAATGATTCGTCCGTCATGTGCTGTCTTCGTTATCGTGCGTCGTGCGTTCGAGTCATCGCGGCATTAAAAAAACCTTGAGAGGACACCGACTGTAACTTTCTCATGCCTGCGTTCATTTGTTGTGATCTTACAACGTACGCGTTTGCTGTTTTGAGAGCCTACAAGGTACGTTCGACGTGACGCAAAATAAACACTAAGATAACGTTACAAGTTGAAGTGATGGGCGACGTAACCTCAGCCTTCTCTTGTGCGTTACGTCCGACGTTACGTAACTACATCCTTCATTTAGAGCTGCGTCTTTTCAGTCAGACGCCTCTCTCCATATTGGTATAGTCTCCGATATATTATGTTTCGTTAAGTGGCCGAGTGGGTTGGAACTTCGTCGCCGAGCGCGTGATCAATTTAAGAGTTCGGTACCCGCGATAGTTTACGGGATTTTCCAATTTTCTTTTTTTAATGGTAGCACGTTGGGGGGTCACGTCATTGCTGCATACGAATACAGCTCCGATAATCATAATTGTCTAGGAGCGCACTCGCGATGGCTCGTGTTTTTAGCGTTTGCTGTCAAGTGCTAGCGCGTTTGAACTCAAAGTTTATGTGGGTAAACGATTGATGAGAATCCATTGGAGCAGTGGGCTATCACCATATGCATGCATTCTCAAACACGGAGCTTGCCACTGATTCCAACCGGAGTGCACATTCTATGCAATAGATTATAGCACCAAATATTTCATAAACGTTCTATTGGGATGTAACCAAGGAGATTAGATGCAACGCTAAGCTGCCATGTTGCGTATGACTCGGACAGCACACCAAACATTAGAGTTACAGAACAACAACACGAGTTCAGGAATACCATTCACTATCATGATGACGGCAGACCACATGCTCACTCGTCATGGGGTGTGTCCATGTATACTGTATACTGCCTACATCCTGTGCATGTGCATGAACCATAACGATTGTATTTATTTATCACTGTAGGACGTACTCGGTTCTTTTTATTTCAGATGCATTTTGAGGACAGAAGCTTCGAGCAAAACAGACAGGATGGTTTGAAGAAATTGAGGCCTCATGTGGTTCCTACACTTTTTCCTTATCATGGTAAGTGTGGAAAATGTATTTATTTTTCAATTCAATGTTTATTTGATGAAATGAAGACTGTTTGTATAATGTTAGGTCGGCTACTTCGATGCTAGTAGGGAAATTGATGTATGTACGCGTTCTAAAGATATATATATATATATATATATATATATATATACATACATGATTAACATTGCGCATTGCAAATTCTTTATTTTGCAAATGAGAAGGAAGTAGAGGACTTTTATGGAATGCTGAGAAAATATTTTATTTTGTGCAAAATCTGTCGTGTGTTGTAGCCCGTGTCTGAAGTAAACAACGATGGATATAATCTCTATAGTTTTAGCAGACCCACCAGAGCGCTCGCTTCGGATATAATTTGTGTGATAGTGCCTCTTGTACCCAATTTTGAAATGTATTAAATGCACTTGTTTCTGCAATACAAAAATTAGATGAATAAAGCGAGCTGGGGCATTACAGTAGTTATGTTCAACTTTCACCAGCTCTTATCTTGCCTAATAATTTATTGTTAATCGTTTCAGTACAAAAAGCTAAATATTTTTTTTTACTTGTAGCTTCACAACAGTTTTATGTTGTCCGTGCCACATGTAATGCGGCACGCACAACATACTGAAACAGAAAATATAGCCCAGCTCAATATGTTGAAATAACTCTGAGATTTCGGACAACAAATGACGAACAAGAGGACGACAAGAGGTCTCGTGACCTCTTGTTAATCGTCGATTGTCCTAAGTCGTAGGGCCATTTCAACATGTTTAACTTTCACCAGCTCGTTTGCGTCCTAACTTTCTGTTCACAACATAGCTACGGTTTTACGGCTTCCAAAGTGTTAAACAAATAGGCATAATGCACTAGTAACCGAAGATAAAAAAACTAGCTTAGCGTTTTAATAAATAGTCTTATTTTCTTGTTTTTCCTCTTGGGCGAAAGAGTAAAGGTGGTGGAAGGGGTGATGTGTAGTTATCGAAAAAATTAGGAGCAGATTCAATACTTTCTGTACTGTATTCAAGTAATACAAACGGAAACAAGAAATTTGTGAATTTCAAGTTGTTGAATAAATATGTAAGTAAATAGTTACAAGTACCTATGTTTATTTGTGTTTTGAACTGATTTTTCCAGCCTTCCCAAAACACCGAAGGCCGCCAAAAAAAGCGTGCTTGTGCATCGACCGACGCACCACTGTCATGCCCAGTGCTCGACGTTGTTGCAAGTGACCTAGACAACACTGCGCCGTCTATGCGTCCCCATGCATCGGTGACCACTTCAGTGTCTGATGTGGCTCTTGACAATGTTGCAAGTAAGCCATTCAGTGCTGCTTCATTCATCTGTGCTCGTGAATTGGCAGCTGCTCCAGTGCCAGATGCTGCTCCAGTGTCAGACGCTGCTTCGTCCGTGTGTGCCCATGCATCAGTAGTCTCTACAGTGCCTGACGTGGCTTTCGACAACGTTGCAAGTGAGCCAGACAGTGCTGCTTCATCCATCTGTGCCCGTGAATCGACAGCTGCTCCAGTGTCGGATGCTGCTCTGTCCATGCGTGCCGATGCATCAGGATCTGCTCCAGTGCCACATCTTCTGAACAGCACTGCAAATGACCCGGACAACGCTGCTCTGTCTGTGTGTGCTTCAGTGTCAGCAACTGCCCCAATGCAAAACATTGCTTTTGACATTTCCAATGAACCGGTCAACCGGGCTCTGTCCATGCATACCTGTGCACCAGCAGCCACTCCAGTGTAAGATATGGCTCTCGACAATGTTGCAAGCGGGCCAGCCAGGCAGCATATCGTCGAAGCACAGGGTAGCCTTCCCAATGGGCAAATGCTCTCATCAACTTTCTTTGCCTTTGGAAGGAGCACAACCTCGACCTTGACATTAATGCGCCGAGAGAACGCCGATCTACGGAAAAAGAAAACAGTGATTTGAACCGAAAATACAGAAACCTGCAAAAGCTTCACGAACAAGCAAAGTCAGAACTCCGCAGTATTCGGAAGAAGATGGCGTCCACCTGCAAGGGACAAGTGCATTGACAACATCAGCTTTTTGTTAACAACGGCCAAAAAAGGCTCACACCAGTAAGACCACGGAAGGCCAGAAGTGGTCTGAAAAGACTATTCGGGAGGCTCTGCAGATCAAGCATGCCTGTGGTACGACTGGGTACGAACTGCTAAGGTGTTTGTCGTATCCACTACCTTCCAACAGGACGTTGATTCGTAGACTCCAGAATATTCGTTTCCTGCCTGGTGTTCTTGACGAGGTAATAGAAGTACTAAAGCGCAAGGTAGAGACAATGGAATATGTTGAAAAGGACTGTATGCTCCTCATGAACGAAATGGAGATCATTCAGGGCTTCGACCATGACCGCTCACTTTATTGCCTTTTTGGGAATACCACACTTCCAAAATCTAGCGTTGATGCTGCCAACCATGCACTCGTCTTTATGGTTGGTGTGCTAAACACAAGGTCGAAACAAGTCATTGCCTACCACTTTACTGGGCGGTCAATCAATGGTAGCATTTTGAAGGATCTTGTCTTCCATTTTATTGAACGCTATTCCAGTATTTCCCTGCGAGTGCTCGTTGTCACAAGTGACATTGGCGCCGCCGATCGTGCAGTGTCGTGTCTGCTTGAAGTACTGAGCCAGACACTCCGAGACTCTCTGCTCTGTTGCACATCCGCAGCTTGACGGCAGGAAGCTGTTTTTCATGGCTGATCCAGCCCACGTCTTGAAGAATATTCGCGCTCAGCGTCTTCGTGTTTACTCTAGGAGAAGAGACGGTCAGGGAACACAATCTTCCAGGAAAAACTGTAGACGTAGATCACGTTGAAGTTGTTCTGTCTTATGACAGGATTAATGACCCCAACATTGTAAACAGGCTTTCTGACATTTAGGTTAGCAGCTGACATTTCACAAGGATGAAGGTAAATATTCCTGTGCAGATGTTTTGTGAAGCTCCTCCTGCAATTCGATGTTCAAACCAGCAAGGAGTCTTGCCACCTAAATCAGAGGCGACAGCGTGGTTTTTCAACCTTGTGAGCAGGTGATATACCCTGATGTCGTCAAGACACTCTCTGGTTGCTTTGAGCCATTTGGACCCTACAAAGCACAAAGAAGCAGTTGGAACCCTGGGACTTGCATGTACCACGTTCTGTCAAATGAGCATGGGAGCGACTGTACACTAGAAACCATCACAGGCAGGTCTTTTGGTGTCAAGCACTGTCGTTCTGAACGTCTCAAATGAACTCTTGAGCAAGCACAAATACAAGTACCTCCTCACTGGTAGGTTGAGTAAAGATTGTCTTGAAAACATCTTCTCCGTTCTAAGGCTCAAGAAATCTGTCCCAAGTGCATACGATGTGAAGTGTGCTTTAAAGTTGATTTGTATTGGCCAGTTTTTGCATAAGCACACATCTTCTAGATACAGCGTCGATGACAGAACGTACCTGGCTGACCTCCTCGACCCCAGTATCAAGAAACGAGAAGAAGAGGTCGAGGAGGAATCTGAAGAATTGGAAACCTTGTTTGTGTGTGGTCTGACTGGAGTCGGTTGCGACATTCTTGCCTACGTGGGAGGTTTTCTTCTCAAGTCTCTCATCAAGTCCATTGGCAACTGCAAGGACTGCAAGGGAGCCCTAGTTGAAGATAGTACAAACCAATACAGCAGCCTAATCCGCCTGAAGGAGTATGTCAAGAATGCTGGTAACCTCATTCAGCGCAGCCAAACTGTGATGAGCCTCTTGATAGAGTGCGAGGAAAACTTCAAGGCTTTTGCAGAAATGAATGAAATTCTGACGCTCAAAACTTCATTCACTAGCATTTTGAATGCACTGTGCAAGTCTGTGAGAGTACGGTTAGGCTGCTGTGACATGTACCATGCACGAGCAGAAAAGATACTGCTTGATAAGTACGTGAGAACGAGGCTTATGATTTATCTTCGACAGCAACATGCACGGGGAGTAGATGAAGCATCAAGCATGTCATGTGCTGCGGCAAACCTTAATTAACTTACGGATAGATCATTTTAGCTAGCGGTGGGCCGAGCTGCACTTCTGCACTACATTGTCGCATTTACTGAACTGCCAAAGTCCTATGTAAATGTCTTGCACACCATGTTTTTCCGCATTATTGTTGGCATGGTTTTAAAATTTTATTAGCAACAAAGGGTAACACTGCAATCCAGAGTGCACTTCTGCGATTTTTTTGTTTCTCAATTACCAGCACTGTTCTTTTTTTAGTTTCTTGCTTTTAAGCCCCATTCAAGATTAAGTTCTCCTTGACAGATGCTTTGGTTTATTAATTTTTTTTATGCTTGTATCGTCAAATGTGTTTATTGTGATGCCATTCACAGCATGTTCTCCGCAGGGGGCACCTGTGAAAGCAGGTGTTTGGAGAGTGGCGTCTCCACGGACCCCGAGCCATGCGGGTTCGCCCGCCCACGTCTGACTGTGCGTGGCTTTCCCGTGTCTGGGGAAAAGGGCATCCTGGTGGTTGAGCCAAGCCCGGGGTAGGTTTGGACCCTTCGGGGCCTCCCGGGCGAGGCAATACACCGCGTCTCATAGACGGGAGTCCTGGTAAGGCTCGGCCAGGATGATTCAGTCTCGTCGCCAGTCGCCACTCCTTCTACTATCCCCTCTCTACTTTCACCCTTGTCTGCTCCTCCTTTTCACTCTTCTCATTTCTCTTCTTTCCTTTTTCAACTCCTTTGGCGGCAAGGGCTAACCTTGGGTAGCGAAAGACCTCTTGTCCAAAACCACACTTGGTTATAGAAACTGGGCAGCACTAATAGAGCAACGTCTTCAGCCAAGCCCATCTTGTTATGAAGCGTTACCTATTCCCTTGTTGGGCTCGGGGGTGGGCGGCGCACCACAGTTTCCGAACACCATTCCCCTCTTATGGGTTCCAAGCTGAAACAACCTGATCGGCCTCCGAAAAGAGGCTGGACCGAAGCACTTTCAACATTTCTAAAACTAGACAACTCAGACGACCACTTTACAAGATTTTTCGTCTTACACTCCGACGACACTTCTAAGCCGCTGTTAAAACTATCTCCATTCCTTGTCGCCAAAACTCCCCAAAACACGCTCGGGGCAAAATATGAAGCAAAGAAGCTTTTTTTGGTGACCTTCTTGTCGAGATTTATGAAAGATATCAGGCAACTGCTTTGCTTAATCTGAAAATGATACATGACCTCAAAGTGACTGCATCTGCACACCGTACGTTGAACACCATTCGCGGTGTGATATCAGAGGATGATCTTGTAACCAGTTCTGAAGAGGAAATCGTGGAGGGTCTAAGCACTCAAGGTGTCGTGGCCGCAAAACGAATTAAAATTCGTAAGGATGGTGGGGAACGACACACCAAACCCGTGATACTAACATTTGAGAAAAACTCGCTGCCCCCTACTGTAAAGGCGGGTTACATCAACTGCAAAGTGCGGCCGTATGTCCGGAACCCGCTACGCTGCTTTCGCTGCCAGCGGTAAGGTCACGGTTCACGAGCGTGCCGTGGTCGTGAGACCTGTGCCAGGTGCAGCGGAACTGACCATACCGCTGATGACTGCAACCTTGACTATAAGTGTGCAAACTGCAACGCCGACCATCCTGCCTACTCTCGATCATGTAACCACTTTAAAAAGGAAAAAGAAATACTTGCTCTCAAAATGAAAGAAAACATTTCCTACCAGGATGCAAAGCGCCGCCTCTCTGCTTTCCAGAGAGGCTCTTTTGCCGAGGCGGTGTCCAGCAGAGGACCTGCAAAGTCTAAGATATCGGTGGCGACCCAGGTGTCTTTTTCAGGCCACGGGAAGCCACTGCAGTCCTCCACGCCCAGGTTGAAGCTATCTCTCCTTGGGCATTCCCTCTCGGCTGCAAAGGCAGCCGAGGCACCCAGTTCTTTCAAAGACCTGGGTGCTGCCGAGGCAATGGAGGTGACTCCATTGCCCACACCTTGCAGGTCGTCCACGGAAGAGAGCGAGCGAGCCCCTCGCTCGTCCTCTCAGAAGAGGACTTCCTCACCCAAGAAGCCTTCAGCTTCAGGGGAGAGCACACCAGCTGACTCCCAGCGTCAGAACAGGCAGGCAATGCCTGCCCGTGGTTCAAGGACTTCCTCTAGTGGGGAGCGGCACTCCCGCCAAAACTCGCTGAAGAGGTCCTCTTTATCCAAAGGGCAGCATCGAGCTGCCCCTTCAGGGTCTCAGTGGCAGGACCAGAGGGACTCGGACAATATCACGCCCAGTATCTCCCCTGCCTCTTCAGTGGGGGGTGGTCGTGGACGGGGTTATCCACCCCGTGCTGCGGACCTACCCAAACCTCCAGGAAAAGTCTCGTCCGAGGAAGTGGAGGCGATGGACGAGGCTACTGATCCGCATACTCCTGCATCTCACCATGAAGACATTGAGTGGCAAACTCCAAACCGTAAATCTAAAGGGAAGAAACCTGTGACAGCTCCCAAATAGATTAGATCAACTTACCTCTTTAATCGCGAGCATTAATTTTCTTTTTCTCTCTTCCTTTTTATTAATTTGTTCGTGTACCTTTTTACCTAAGTGAGAAACTTATATTTTATGCAATGGAACTGTCGAGGTCTTTTACCCAACATCGATGATGTTAATTATTTTATGGATGAGCTTCGGCCTATTGCCCTCTCTTTACAAGAAACTCATGTTCAAACACATCATACACAGATTTTACGACGTTATCAAGTGTTCCGCAAAGATCGTCTGAATTCCAGTTCTCGTGGCGCAGCAGTGGTCGTGCAGAGCGGGGTTGCCTGCTCGGAGTTCCTGTCTGCACACCGCTCGAAGCTGTAGCGGTACGCCTTCTTTTAGACCGCCTCATAACAATTGTGTCCATTTATTTGCCACCAAACGTTCCATTGCAACTTCACGAACTCCAGGGTCTTGTAAGACAACTTCCTCAACCATTCTTAATTTTAGGAGATTTTAATGCCCATCACCCCATGTGGGGCAGTACTCGCCTCGATTCTCGAGGCCGAGTAATTGAGCGGTTTTTATTATCATCTAATTTGTGTATTTTTAACGGGAGACAACCTACTTTTTTAGTTCTGCTCACAACTCATTTACGTCTATTGACCTTTCTATTACTTCACCTTCATTACTTCCATGCTTTTCATGGAAGGTTTTTAATAATCCCTTTGGGAGCGATCACTTCCCTATTGTTTTAGAGAGTACAGTCTCTCTTCCGACTCTGTTAACACGAATGCCCCGATGGATACAAGACAAGGCAGATTGGTCCATTTTTCAATTAGAGGCACTGATTGATTCTTCTATAATCTCAAACATGAACACAGATGAAGCAACACTGTATGTCACAGAGGTTATAATAAGCGCTGCCACACGGAGTATTCATGAAACGTCTGGTCGTCTTCCTAAAAGATGCAAGCCTTGGTGGAATGATGACTGTAAAACAACACAAAAGTCCCAGAACAAAGCTTGGTGCATCTTTCGGAGATATCCAACTTCTAGGAACTTACTTGAGTTTAAGAAAAGAAGAGCTAAAGCTCGCTGGACAAGACGCCAGGCGAAGGGAAGCTCCTGGAGGAAGTATTTGACGTCCTTAAGTAGCTTTGTACCTGCAAAAGAAGCGTGGGATCGGCTTAGAAAGGTTAGGGGTGACTACTTACCCTTCAGAATTCCACTTTTTCCTGCTTCATCTTCAACGTCCCTGAAAGATCAAGCGAATGTTCTTGGGGAACATTTCCAAGACGTTTCTAGTTTACGCAACTGCAGTGAAGCATTTAAAAAATTTCAGTTCGACAGCAGAGAAACAACCAATCATCCTGTCTGGGGCTCGTGACGCTCCGTACAACAGGCCTTTTACACTCTCTGAGCTCGAAGTGGCTCTCAGTGTAAAGAAACAGTCTCCTCCTGGACCAGACAATATTCATTATGAGATGCTAAGGCACCTGTCACCTGATTCTCTAGGCAGTTTGCTGACCTTTTATAACTCATTGTGGCACTGCTCTGCATTCCCCGAGGTTTGGAAAAGAGCACATGTAATCGCTCTTCTGAAGCCTGGTAAGGATCCTTCTCAACCAACTAGCTACCGTCCCATTGCACTCACAAGCTGCTTGGGAAAAACTTACGAAAGAATGATTAACCGACGTCTCGTTCATTTCTTGGAGACTGAGAATGTGCTTGACATTAATCAGTGTGGTTTTCGAGCTGGACGTTCCACCCTGGACCACTTAGTCCGCCTTGAAACCTCTATTCGTGAGGCATTTGTACACCGCCAGCTTTGCCTCTCTGTGTTTTTTGATCTGCAAAAGGCGTACGATACAACGTGGTGCTATGGGATCCTGCGGGATCTGTATGCTTATGGTGTTCGAGGTCGCATGTTGCGATGTATCCAAAGCTTCTTAATGGGACGTACTTTCCAAGTCCGTCTGGGCTCCACCTTATCAGATGTGTTTTCTCAAGAAAGTGGTGTCCCTCAGGGAGGGGTGCTTAGTGTTACACTTTTTGCAGTTAAAATCAATAGCCTGGCTCAGGTGATACCACCGACAGTATCCTATTCTTTGTATGTGGATGATGTGCAAATTTCAGTTTCTTCTTGCAATCTGCATAGTTGTGAACGTCAACTGCAACTGACAATCAACAGGATGAGCAAGTGGGCAGCCGAAAATGGGTTTCGTTTCTCCCCTGACAAAACCGTATGTGTTCTTTTTTCCCTGCGTCGAGGAATGTCACCGGATCCTACCTTGCATCTGAATAACCTTACGATTACTGTAAAGGAGGCGCACAAGCTTCTAGGATTGATATTCGACAAGAAGCTCACATTCGTACCCCATTTGAAAGAACTAAAACAAAAATGCCTACGATCTTCCAATATTCTTAAAGTGCTGTCGCACACAACTTGGGGGTCTGACAGACGATGCTTGCTGCGAATTTACAACTCTCTAGTGCGGTCCCGGTTGGATTATGGTGCACCGGTATATGCGTCAGCACGACCATCTGCTTTGAAGATGTTAGACCCAGGCCATCACC